TGCCCGGCCCGGGCCGCGGGCGGGATGCCGCCCCGGCGGCGCAGCCTGCGCGGCGCGGCGCGGAGCGGAGCCCGTCCCGAGCTTAACGACTGCGTCTCTCTCCCGCTCTTGCGCCCGTGCAGAGAAGGAGGTGGCGGAACCCGAGGTGCGGATGGTGAACGGCAAACCAAAGAAAGTGCGCAAACCCCGGACTATTTATTCCAGCTTCCAGCTGGCAGCGTTGCAGAGGAGGTTTCAGAAGACCCAGTACCTCGCCCTGCCCGAGCGGGCCGAGCTGGCAGCCTCCCTGGGACTCACGCAAACACAGGTACCGCGAGCGGCTCGGCTCGGCTCGGCTCGGCCCGGCCCGGCCCGGCCCGGCGCGGCGGGAAGGGCGTTGTTGGCCCCGCGGAGGGCAGGGAGGGCGGCGGGGCGCCGCAGCCGCGAAGCACCGGCTTGCCAGGCGGGCATTAATGGTGTCGCTTTCCCTCCCCTCTCCCCCTTTCCTCCCTTCTCCTCTCTTCCCGCCCCGCTCCCAGGTGAAAATCTGGTTTCAGAATAAAAGATCCAAGATCAAGAAGATCATGAAAAACGGGGAGATGCCTCCGGAGCACAGTCCCAGCTCCAGCGACCCCATGGCCTGCAACTCTCCACAGTCACCTGCGGTTTGGGAACCTCAGGGCTCGTCCCGCTCCCTCAGCCACCATGCCCACGCGCACGCTCACCCTCCAAACTCCAACCCGTCCCCTGCATCCAGCTACCTGGAGAGCTCCACTTCCTGGTACCCCGCTGCCAACTCCATCAACTCCCACCTCCAACCCCACGGCTCCCTACAGCACCCGTTAGCGCTGGCCTCTGGGACGATTTATTAGAGCCTGACCCTTTTATTTTATTATATTTTTTTTGTTGTTCCTTGGACTCCTGTGTTTTACTGTTAAGGAATAATAACGAAAGGAATGCATATGGGGAATTTTTAAAAGGGAAAAAGAAACAAACAAAAAGATTAAAATGTGTAAAGCTTGTGCATGTAACTTATTGCATTTCAAAGGAAACCCCTTTTTTATACAATACGGACGTTTTTTGGCTCAGCTGTGGACACTATCATTGGTGCCTTGAAATCTATGACCTCAACTTTTCCAGAGACTTTTTTCAATGTTATTTTAACCCTGTAAATAATTGTAGATAGAGGAATTAAACTGTATATTCTGAATAAAATAAAATTATTTCGACCAAGAGAAATGTTTCCAAATTACCCCTTCTTCTATTAATAAGAGGAAACAAATATAATACTAATTTGCTTGCAGAAAGACAGTGAGGAAAGAGGATGGGAGCTGGGAGTTCACATTCTGTTCCAGTGCGTGCTGGCAGGATCTGGCCCTTGCAGGTACCCACGGGCGAGCCGAGGGGCGGCGGTGCTCTCTCCCCGCTGGGAAAGGGGCTCTGGCAAGACCGCGTACATCTTACTGCACAGTGCTTTAAGCTGAAGGGAAAGCTGCCCATCCTGATGCGAGAAAGCGAATCTCTCGCCTTAAGCCGCCCTGAATCCTTTCCTGAGAGCAATTAGCGTCGAGAGCTGCACACTCCACAGCCCATCAGTCGCCCGTGTGCGCTCGGCTAATTATACAAATTACGTTTCCGTCAAAGGGAGCCACTAAATATGAGAAAAGAATAAAATGAGGGCCCCACTCCCCTCGCTCCTGCTAAAAGCCTGCGGCGGCTTCGACTGAAGGAGGAACGTTTCAGAGGTACTTTTATTGTTTTTGTTTTATTTCTACACGATTTAGGGAAAAACCCTTGCGTCAGAGCAGTCGCTAGCGCTGCCCAGTGCTGGAGGCACGCTCGGGCGAGCTGGCCGGAGAGCTGCCCACCGGCGCGGAGCACTCGCCCGCAGCACGGGCTCTCTTCCAGTGGAAATCCTGGCCCGCGGGGCCCCCGCGGTGGCGCACGTTCCCACGGGGACCCCCATTCCAGGGGGCAGCGGTAATTCACGGCCGTGCGGGGCACGGCGACAGCAGTGAGCGTGCCAAAGGCGGCGCTGGAAGGATCCCCGAGATGAAAGATGCCCCTGTGGCAGCTGAGGCTGGCGGGGAGAGTGCTGGAAGGGGGGGAGGCGAGGCCTGAAAAGGCACGCTCCTGCCCTGGGGCGCACTTACCTATCTCCAGTCTTCCTCCCCTCTGCCCTCCCCCTCCTTTTTTCTCCTTCCTCTCCTGCCTGCCATGTTTTGTGCGTGAGTGTGGTTTGCGCAGTTTTCTCCCCAAAGAAAGAAGCCCGCGTTTGCTGTTTTGCAGCAGGTTTGGGGGTTGGTAAATGTCTCGCAGTACAATAGACCAGTTTGTTGAGTTGTGCTCCCTGCACGCCGGGGCGGGTGCGGGGGTGCCCGAGGCAGGGCGGCGGGGCCGCCGCCGGCTGCCCACCCCTGCCCGCTGCCGGAGAGCGGCCGCCCTGCCGCCGTGCCCCCCGCTCCCCATCTCTTCCGCCCTTCTGGTGACCGTCTCCTGCTCATTTAACTCGCAAGGTTTCAGGGACTTCCCACGACTCATCTCTTCTGCTCACTTCCATCCTGTGCAAAGATTTTTTTTTTTTAAAACTTGACCCTTTCATTTTCTTCCGCTCTTTTCCTCATTTCCCTCTAGACAAGCATTCAACCTGCAGTAAGAAATTCTCCCCTCCCGGAGGTCACTTCCCTTTGCAAAAAGGTTTGGACACAAGAGGTGGAAATCACTTTCCCAGGTGGGTCCACCCACCCCTTTCTTTGCGGAGCTGCCGCGGAGCTGTTGGGTTGCGGTAACCTGCCGAGGCCGGGGCGGCCCGGACGGACAGCGCAGAAACAGCTCCGGGAAGGCGGAATGCCGGCAAGCGGCATACCGGGCAGCAGTGGGAGCTGGACTAGGCATCGCTCGCCTCTCCAAGCCAGCCGAGTCAGCTCTGCTTAGTTTCCATGCCGGTCCCCCTCCCTGCTTAATTTCTCCTCCTCCCAGAGCGGGTTGGTGTTGGGCAGGTCGGGAAAAGCCTGGCATCCCTCCCCTAGAGAGGACAAGAAATGCCCTCGCCGGGGCTCCCCGTCGCGTGGCCCCGACCTCGATGAACACTCAGAGTCTACGGCCGCCCGCCCCTCCGGGAGAGCCCCGGGCCGGGGGGATGCTCCTGTCCCTTCTGTCCCCGCACACACAGGCAGGCACAGCCCGGCGCCTCCTCCCGCCTGGATGCACCCCCTGGGCTCTGGCGGCGGCCGGAGGGAGCCTAGCTTGGCCAGGCCTCCCCGCTTTTTCCCCGGGAAAGGGATGGCATGAACTGTCCTTTGTCTGATGCTGGGTTTGGGCTCGGCGGATTGCTGGCTCGGGGCTTTCCCCGCCTCTCCCCCTCTTCCCCTCCCTTCTGTTTTCCTGGCGGCCACTTCCATGTGGAGCCGGGGCAGTTCGGGGAGCCGAGAGGAGCCACATTCCTGTGGGTGCCGAGCGGCTCCAGGGCTGAGCCACAGGGCCTGACACACACACACACACACACACACAGGCGCGCAGACACACATCCGCACGCACAGAGCAGCCGACAGCCCCCGCTTCCCCAGACCGAGAGCTCCTGACACTGCCTGCCCCCCTTGGGGCTCTCACACCCACAGCAAACCCACCCGCGGCTGCGCTAGCCCCCGGCTGGGACGCACGCCTACATCACCCACAGCCAGACACACTCAGTGCCCGCCACCCCCACCTCGGGCCGCGGGAGGAGCACCTTCCCCTTCCGCCCGAGCCCCCCGCTCCTGCCCGGGCATCTGCCGCAGCGCCCGCGGGCACAGCCTCCACCGGGAAGTGCCGTCTCGTCGCCGAGCGCCTCGGTTTCCCTCCAGCTCCTTCCCGGGGAAAGAAAAAACACCCTCTCCAACCTGTCACCGCGGCAGGGCAGCCCGCCTGTCAGGCGTTCCTGTCGCCCTCTCACTCCCCTCGGTCTCCCCCGTGCGCTCTCCCCCGCGGCCGCGCTGCCTGCGCGGGCCCCGCGCTCTGCCCGCTCCACCGCCGGCAGCGCTGTGTCCCCAGAGTGCATCCCACATGTGGCATCGATTAAAGATTTCTGCCACGCAATTTTGCGACTGACAGACTTTAGGTGTTTCGTCTGTGGATTAAGGAAAGGAGATCTATTGCTTCAGGAAAATCGGGGCGGGGGGTGGGGTGTGGGAACCCCCTCTTCTTGCTTTCAGTCCTTTAAGCGATTGCTTGCAGTAACTCAATAACCTGTTTTATAGGTCAGATAAGAGCCGCGAAAGTAGGAAACGCGACGTTTACATTAAGTCTCTCTTTCTCTCTCTTTTTTTAGGGAAGATCTGTGTTGCATCAGTTAAATAGTTCTCTTTGTTCAGTGATGTGTCTATTTATACGTGATTCGGGGAGGATGATAAACAATAGTTTATCTGCCTGGAATACAGACCTGATAAATCCCGCCACGCACCCACTCCCCGGCTGTCTGTGAGAGCACCTTCCACTGACACGACCTTCAAAGCCGCGGGTAAAACTCATGGCTCCCTCACCTCCTTCAGGTGAGGGCCCAGAGTGCCGGCCCCTGCGACAGATTGGGCGTTTGGCGAAGAAGAGCTTGGGGGCGGCTTCTCGCTCCTCTCCCGCTGCTGGCTGCCCCTCGGCGCTCCCGGAGAGGCTGTCTAAACCTCAGCCTGGGCTTTGCAGGATGGCTCAGGCAGCCTCTCCGGGCCGGATGCTGACCCGGCTTCGTGCTCTGCAGCGGCATCATCCGCCTGCTTGCGGAGCTGGCCCTCCATTCCAGGAGATCTTTACGGTCTCATCGATACGCACCGCATAACGCGTTTTGTAGGGTTTTCTCCTCCTGCTATCCACTGAGCTTTCTTTTATTCACCTGGTTTTTACTAATGCGCACGGAGAAAAGGGCGCGGAGTTAGACTGCGGGCTGTGGGGAGCGGCTGCGGTCGGGAGAGGCCAGCAGGGCCGGGGAGGCAGCCCTCCTGCCCATGGGGCGGCCCCGGGCGCTCCCTGCTCTCATCTGGACCCTGCGGAGACTAACCGGAGACCAACCGGTCCGGCGGCAGCCGCGCTTTGATGATTTAGGTCATTAAAAAATGAAGCGGGTTTGTGTATTTCGTGTCCAGGGTTAATAAAAGTTAATCAGGAGTCGAAAGCCAACTAGCCCAGTGAGTTAACCTCGCTAGCTGCAGGTAGTCCAGTTAGCCAGGCTCTTTTGATTAATTAATTACAATTGAGTCGGTTCTGTGATAATTTCCCTAAGGACCCCTGAGGACCGGTCCAGCGGGTGCGCGGGAGCGCAGAAGGCCGCCGGCTCCACAGCCCGCCGCGGAGAATGCCCGGCGCTGGCATCCGCACCCCGCGCTGGCATCCGCACCCCGCGCTCTCCTCCGCCCGGTTCCGAAGCTCCCCAGGCTTCTTGCCCGAAAGTGACGTTCAGTCACCTGAGAGGAGGCACAAGACAATGGCGAGCCCTCTTTTGGGGATGGGTGGGGAGCTCGGGGATGCTTCGGCTGCCGGGGAGAGGCTGCCGGGAAGAGCCGAGCCGAGAGGCGGACTGAGGCAAGGCGGGAGCCGAACCAGCAGTCCCTGACTGCACATCAGGCTCGCAGTCGTTGAGATTTGGACACGTAACGCTGCAGACCACTGATTTGCTATTTTCTTAATTCCCGCTCTTCTCATTCCCTATGAATCAAACAGTCTTTTGTCCTTCAGAGTTTGATTTGATCGCTACTGTTCACATTTCACTTTTGTATTTTTCCCTCCCTATACCATTACTCATTGAGTGCCCCGTGAAATTACAATCGTACATTTTCAACTCAGCAACCCATTTGCAGTGCAAAAATAGGGTCTAAATAATGGCTGAATTAGCCCTACTGGACAGTTTCAGATGTAACACTCTGTAATAATTATATTGCAGGCTGGATTAGGATGCTATTATCATAATCTGGACGTTTACAATTATCTGTAATTTGCAAAGATGCGCCAGGTCTTGATTACAGCAGGTTTTTTTTATCAAGCTAACCATCACTAAACAGTGACAGTAATAACAGCTAATTTTGCTGGCAATATAAGAGGTGCTGGGGTGTGCAAACAATTTCACACCTGGATGTGCTCACTCAACCAAGAATATAGAGAAAGAGCTTCTGCCCTGAGACTCAGAAAAATATTCTCCACTGCTTCTGTTCAGTGCAGATTTCTAGACCCCGATCCTTGCTTAGCAGATTTTGAGAGGGGTAAGTTTTGGGGCTCG